GTAGTTGTCTGTCAGATCGATTTTTTCAATGAAAGTATTCTTCTGCAATAGATAGAAAATTTTAATGAGTGATAAAGTTTATCATAAATGAATAATATATAATATCAAATTATAATAGTTTATTCAGCGGCAAATGGTATCCTTCAAAAACACTTAGAACAAAATGAAAAACCTGGACAGGTACATTCCTATACCCAAGGATACTTCTAAGTTTCCTAACAGAAAAATGAAGACTTATGGTCACTTTGGAAACAAACTGATGTTTTATTAATCAGTTCTATATCAGATATATAGAACTGATGTTCAAGGTCATCAGTGCTTTATCCCAACCCAACACTAGCAAAGGTCTCAGTTTTAATGTCACATCATAAACCTTTGCTAGGTTTTAAATCAGTTTGAATCAATGTGCAGATATGCAGTATAGCATAGACTAGCCGTTCTTACGTGTGGGATCAAAATTCTTTCAATTGTGGCACAATACACATGCTCATTAGAAGTTTAATAATTATGCTTTATCTTTGTTTTCACACTTTTTAGCTTTTTTTCTAAAATGATAACAATTTCTGAATGTTGGAGTTCTAGCAGTTGCAGCTCGAATCTATATATCTCCATAAAACACACACTCTCGTTCTATAAACAACACAGTTTGTATAATCATTTAAATCTTTGGCTGCAAGCCATCCTCACTTTCTTGAGATATTAGTCACATTGCAGGCTATTTAAACACAGTCTTTCTTCTTCTCCACTAAATAAAATACTTCCAATCGTTGGTTTTCCTATTAAGTAGAATTCTGTTTGTATTCCTTAGATAAGGCTTTTAGTAGTTTCAGAGCCTGAATTATGTAATATATAGTTCGCTTTTGATGAGATAGCTAGCAAATTTGTGGTATCTCTCCAAATGCCCTTTCGAATAATGCTCGATGTTTTTTTACGTGAATGGTGTATGGATTTGTAAGTGATTTGAGCGTATTTGAAGTTGAATCCATGTCTTTAATTCATGCGTTACCACACTCACCACCATAAAGATAGCACATGGAAGTTGTGAATATCATGTGATAGGTTTAACATTTCGTACCCAGTGCATTCTAGTTAAGCCGAGGACAATTTGTGACTGAAAGAAGAATGATCATGACAAAAAAGAAAGCCAAAACTTGAACTTGGGATTAAACTTGTCAAGATGTTGTTAGAATTGTATTTTGATAATTAAAATAACTGCAAATTATTATAAAAGCCTTCAGCAGTACATCTTTTCACCTTTAAAGACTTGGAAAGTGGTAATGTTCCAATTGTCCCCAATCCATGATGTCGCATGATTATTTCACTTTCTTTGAGTCTCTCAGTAAAATACGAAACAGGTACTAAATCTGAAAAAAAACATGACCACAAGAATGAGATTTATTATTTTAAAAAATCGTATAATTGAGAATAAAAGAGTAAGGATTGAAGATGTCTTAAAAAACCATTTATACCAATATAATTATGGAGGTACAACTTCTACATTGCAAAAGTTTAAGAAGAATTATTAAATCCTTTTATCAGGACTCAATGTGTGAAAGACTTAAATTCATTGATTTTTTTCTGCAATGAGGACAGATTGCGCCAATTACTTCCATAAAGTTTTTTGTGGTTATACTCCCATCCTTAAGGATGTGGATGGAGTATCCACTAATATATGTAATCATCCAAGGTAAGGAAGAGTTGAAACAAATATTCTGTGATGTCCATTGCACATTGTTAATTTTTGTTAATTTTTTTTTTTGTGGATATTAAAATATCAACTTTGAGATGAAAACAAAATGGCAGACAGTGTATACTCAATTAGTCAATGGTTGTTGAAAAATACTGTGTGAACGAGAAAAGTCCCTATTTCGGCTTACTAAAAATCACTGATGAATAATTAAACTTATAACTAATGCTAGACCATCCTAACTTAAAGGCGACACGTGATAACAGGTCTATCGTACTACAGGACTGGGCTCCATCACAGGGGCCCAGTTACGATAAGATACGGTATCTAGAGTAAGACTAACACTGAGTGTGGTCACTATATTTTGCAAAATCTAGCTGATCCATTCAATAAATAGAATCTGAGAGACAAAGTTGTTTCACACTGGCGTCCGTACACTCTATACTTTCTGATAATTAAGTTTCATCACAGACGTAAAGTTTTGCTAGCTATTATCTGGTTCGATTATTTGATTATTTTGATGAATTTAAGATCAATTTTAAAAGAGTTTTGAGATATTTTCCAAAAAAAGCGTGCAGGTCTCGGCATTCAGTTTTTGACGTTTTGAAATATTTTTGTTCTACGAAAATTCAATGCAAGTCTAACTCGAAGTCTGGCTCGAACTCGAACTCGAATTCCAACTCGATGGTTTGTGTATCCCGCCTTTGTTACACCACTAGATAACTAACCACCAAACCACAGGGGAAACCTCATTCAAATTTACGGCGCCTAGTGTCTGTTCCTTCAGATGATAGTTTTCATGCAAATTTTTATCGCACAATCGCTCTCCCCATGTTTTCTCTTTTTCTTCGCTACGTTGTAGTTCAGCATTGTGATATATCAATTAAAACACGCTTTCACTGAGTTAGTGTATGCATTTTTTTTCAGCCCTCTATATTGTCTTCCCCTGGTTGCCAATGTCACCCTGCTTAGGGTTAAACGCTTTGCTATGGAGCTAAAGTCACATCCAAATCCGTCTCAGGTGGCATATGTAATCCAGGGCTTACACAAGGGATTCCACATTGGTTTTTCTTATCCAGCAATCTAAAACCCGCCAAAACAAATAAACAATTGGCTATTCACCATTATTATGTTATCGATAGTTATCTAGCAAACAAAATACTGCGGGTAGAGTTGCAGGCCCTTTCCTTCAACCACGTTTACCTAACCTCAACGTCAGTAGCTTCGCAAAATCCCTAAGCGAGGACAACCTGGGAAATAGAGGCTTATAGTAGATTTATCGTCCTCTACCAGTTTAAGCATTAATGACGGTATCAAGCGCGAAGATTTCGCCCTGCAATATGTCAAACTGGACAAAATAATTGCCATGATTTTTAAAATGGGCGTAGGGGCTATGATGGCTAAATTTGATGTTGAAACAGCCTTTTGCACCATTCCAGTCCACCCAGACAACAGACATTTACTCCGCATGTAGTTTGTGGACCTAGTCCTCCCATTTAGTCTTTGCTCTGCACAATTCATTTTTAATTCAGTTGCAGACATGGTAGAGTGGATTTTGAAAAACAACTACAATAAACTCCGTATCAAACCTGGTTCATTACCTGGACGATTTTATTTTGGCAGGCACTCAAGATTCCGGCATATGCGACCGAGATCTGAACACGTCTTGCCTACTGTGCAACGAGCTTGGGTTACCACTACACCCGGACAAATGCGTCGGTCCCACGTCCACGCTCATCCGTGGCTATCTTAGGTATCAAATTAGACTCCATCAATCAAATTACTCGTTTGCCAGTTGACAAGCTAAGCAATCTCCATCTGTTGATCTTACAACGGCAAGCATGGTGCTGGTGCAACAAGCACGATCTAGAGTCACTAATCGGCCACCTTCACCACGCAGCCAAGGACATGGCCCGGACGCACATTCATTCGCCATATGATCAATCTCCTTTGTTGTTTCCGTACACCAGATCACCCTATTAGGCTCAACGCAGAGTTCCTACGTGACCCTGATTGGTGGTATTGCTTCCTTGACACATGGAATGGAATGGGATTTTGGATCTATCCCGGCAATACGGTGCCTTTTTCAATAACGAGTGGTTCAACGGGATCTGATGGCTCTCATCTCAGACCACACAGTCAATTGCTCACAAGGAGTTATTCCCTGTCATGTTGGCTGCTCACGTCTGGGGCAAGCATTAAACAACACATCTTATTTCGTTCAGATAACAAAGCGGTGGTGATAATCCTAAACAAGAAAACGTCCAAAATTCCCGCGCTAATGCATCTTCTACGAAGTCTCCTGCACGCAGCCGCACGCTTTGGTTTTTCTTTATCCTCAGAGCACATCCAAGGCGTGCACAACTCGATTGCTGATGCTCTGTCTTGTTTCAAATGGCAGGAGTTCAGGCGTGCGGCCCCGTCAGCCAATCAGAACCCAACTCCGCCTCCAACACAGTTGGTCTTCGACTTGACATATCTACTCTAGAACAACAATGCAAAGAGTCGATGTTGAAAGGTTTGGCCCCTAGCACTCGTCGCACTTACGCATTGGCTCAACAGAAGTTTATAGCATTTTTCTATCAGCTAGGAACACAGGCTCCCTGTCCTGCCGACGAAAGAACACTTTATCTCTTTATCACTTTATCTTTATCAATTGTTTGGATGAATACAGATTCCTGCTGTTCCGTTTAATTTTGCCGATTATAGTACGCCAACACACGCAATTTTCAACACATTTACTGGAAGGAGTCAACCCTCCTGTCAGGGTATAGTTTATTGTTGCCGCAGTGTAGTGCACCTGGAATGCTATTAATCTATTATTATTAATAATAAATCACTTATCACATTTTTAGAACATTTTTGAAGGCAGCATTCAATAAATTTAAGTTAGGCTAGTTTAATATTTACCTTTATCTTTACACATTTTGACATACAGTGTTTTCCCAGATGGATCAAACTCTTTGTTGTTAACTGAAAATAACAACAACAACATCCAAACAGTGCTTATTTATCATATAACCATCTAGGAAATACCTAGTCATCTAGATTTCTTTCTGTCAAAAACGTTGTCATTTTCATTAGTGAAGTAAATAAAAGTTATTTTACGAAATAATTTGCTTTTCATAATTATGTAATTATATGATAAACAGCTGATATTATATACGATATAGAAATGAAAAAAAGTTAAAGTGCTTAGAAGGAGGCAATTCCGGGAGAAGTCCCTTAGGAATAAATTCGGAAAAATTAATTTCCGACCTTATATAAGTACTAATTAAATAATATTATATAAGTACTAATTAAAATGTAACCCATCCTCAATCATGACTCAAACTCTTATATTCCTATTACTGGCCTTCAGGAGAACTGTACCTGGGAATTCTTCTTCTAAGTCAGTGTCATATTCTGAGCTTTCACCAGAAGAAAGGACATCAGCGAAGCATGGCGATGCAGGTGCTTGTAATGGATCACCATCACCTTCACTCTTATTTTCATCAGATTCCTCCACTGATATCATAGTAGAGAAAGAACCAGGAATAAAAGGCATGGCTTTATATCCAGTCCTTGTTGACCTCTCAGCAAATCTTGATTGAAATGATACTCTGGTCTTTCCTTTCCTTTCTCCATCTAGACATGTTAACATTATCATTTGTTGGATYATTGCTTATTTCAAATCAGAGGGTCTTCAAGGGGGATATCCAAACCCAATTTCCAAACAAAATTCTTATTAGTAATATTCCGATTTCCACAGGAAGCCCAAAAGATATTGAAGTAATGTTTAAAGTCTGACAACGACAACTGGACGGAATTGTTAGCCTCAGACTTTAACTAATTGCAAGGACTTGAAATCCCACCCAGTCCAAATCTGAGGACTTTGAACGACTTCTCATACTCATGAATTATTTGGGAGGGGAAAAAAGCAAAAGGAAATGCATACGGCAGAAATATAGTTTTTAAGTTGAAAAGAGGCAATATCCCAATTCCCCGAATTTAAACCTTTAAGGTTACCCCGACTACTGGGAGGTGTTTTTACAAAAATCATATCTTGCATGATTTAATAAGAAACCCGCAAGAATTAATACATTTTCTGAATAAGATAAAATGACAAAGAACTAGATTTCTCTTGTAATGGACAAGGAACGCAGTGTATTGGAATGGAGCTCAGAGAAATGTGTTCCTATGGGAACGAGAGGACTGGACCAGTATGCTAATGAGTTGTATATAATGTGTGTC